GAAAATCGTTTGTAAGATTTTTTAAATCGTTTGTACGATTTATGCTCCCTCGAACAAAGGTGGGGGGTTATATTGGAATCCCCCTGTCTCTGTCCATCCGTTCAATCGTATCTGGACGGTAACTTCTTACTGGTATGTTGGATGTTGGCAATACTTCATACAGTTATTCTCCATGATCCAAGGATGTGTCATAATCTTGACCAAGGACCCATGAGTAAGGTCAAGGTCAAGGTGGACTTGGATCTGAAAGTTACCTTATACACGGGTTCCCATAGGGTATTAGTCCTTTAGAAGAGTTTTACTTTGTTTTTGTTAACCCATAGTGTATTGTTTGCACTTTTAAAGCTAATTTGAAAGCTGCGGTGCATTGGAATAGATATAGAACACTAGTTGTCTGGCATCTGCCTGGTATATGAAATAACTGCATGTATACATTATTTCTGTTGGTCATTAACAAATGAAGGTTGCTGCAACATCTTACTCTTAAAACTAAAGTCTTAAAGTAGTAAAAAGTAGTGGATGTCAGATTGACCTTGAGTAGATGCTTTATCTCGTCATGTTTAATGGTCTATGAAGTTTTATGAAGATGCGACTTGTCATCATAGTATTATGGTCATTCATGTGGGGCTAACAAACATGACAAAATTTAATGAACATTGTGAATGTGATCATGATATGATGGTTTACTAATTATAACATTACAATAATATTCATACATTTTAAGCAACAAGATACAATTAATTTTAAGTGTTTCTGTACCTGTTATAGTCAGCAGCGAATTGACTTCTCTGTACTATAGCTTTACCAGGTTTCTTATCCATTACGCTTCTGTTCCGAATTAGAAGAAAAAAAATCGTACAAACGATTTTCTAAATCGTACAAACGATTTTTTAAATCACACAAACGATTTAACAAATTGTACAAAACGATTTCTAAATCGTTCAAACGATTTTAAAAAACCGCACAAACGATTTAACAAATCGTACAAACGATTTTCTAAATCGTACAAACAATTTCCTAAATTGTACAAACGATTTAACAAACAAATTGTTCAAACGATTTATCAAATTGTTCAAACGATTTATCAAATTGTACAAACGATTTATTAAATTGTACAAACGATTTCACAAATTGTACAAACGATTTCACAAATTGTACAAACGTTTTCTTAAATCGAACAAACGTCTTCTTAAATCGTTCAAACGATTTTTTAAATCGTTCAAACAATTTAATTTTTTTTTCTACATTGTCAATATGGCACGAATACGCCGTCGTAGGTCCATGCTCACTTTAATTAAATGATTTTTAGTTTCTTCAAATACCATACAAACGGTTTGACGTTTTCATGTACATAAAACCATTTTGATTCTATTGAAGGGTTAAATGATAATTGCACAATTTTTACTGCCGTATAAAACTATATATTTTCATTTGCAACCTATTGAAGAGAAAATATGTTCAATTCTGAGTGAATGTTATTTGGGGGTCAGAGGTCATAGCGCGACCGGGTGATCTTTGTCTACATATTTCTATCACGGTGCAACTTGTTTTGGAATATTTCTAAGTTAATAACGATGAAAAAGATAAAATAATAAACAATATAAATATTTTTCAATCACGAGATGTACAATAAATCTTCTTTCGATGTGAATAAGGTTTTGAATGCTAGTACTCTGAATAGCCTAAAACCGCACTTTCCTCTTTAACCTGAAATTCCTTTGGAGTTATGTAAACTTAACAGGCGATACCACCGCTTTTGACTTTAAATATTATAAGAACTTATATTTACATTACATATGTTTTATTTGCCTATAAAGTATTTACAAATCTATTGCATTCAAAACACCATAACACTGGCAGGGTGCCAAGAGGTTAAAGCATGTGTTTTAGTTTGAGGCCATAATCGCTTCAAACGCCAAGGAAGTGCAACGTACAAGCGAAAACCCAAAAATCACGCTCAAATTGATCAGAAGCTGTTACGTTGGCAGATCCATTAACTATACCTTACACGAAGAATAATACATAGGTTTTAAATAGAAATCCCATTTGCAGTTAAGGTAGAAAGTTAAAAAAAAAATTAAATATAAGCAATGAATCATTATTTTTTGAAAGATATAGCCTCATAACTGCAACGGTGTGTGCAAACAGATATTCGCAGTTATGAGGCTATATCTTTCAAAAAATAATGATTTACTGCTTTAATGAAATAGTCAGATTATTCTCAGCAGCGATCATTGTTCTTTTACTATATACAGATCTTTCCTAAACTGGACTGCTTAACATGAATGTAAACATTCAAATGTTGGAGCGAAGTGAAGTTTCTAGACCAAATAACTTCTAGGTCATTACGCGTCACAATATAGCTACGGATAATAAAAACAGTTTTACTCGAAATTTATTCGTCTCAAATGTATATATAAGTACGAAAGCCAAGTTTACAGGGAAATGAACTTTTAGTTGGTACGTGATTAAATCAACTTAGAAGCCCCTCGGGCTTCACAGGAATTGATTACGTAACCAACTAAAAGTTGATTTCCGAGAGAACTTTTTATGTTTATTTCTTAAGTACACGTATATCACGTGAAAAAACGAGATGTGAAACACTGCGGCCCCCGTATGGCAACAAAGCAAACTTTCTCAAATGCAAACTGAATATGTTGGTATATTGGTACTCAAAGGAAGGTCTTATCACAAAAAAATGGTGGAATATGAAAGCCCTAGCACTACCTATCCAAATGTGGCCAGGTTAAAGTTTTTAAAGGTAGTTCAAAAAGGTCAAAGGGTCAAAGTTATTGGTTTCTAAAAAAGTTCTTGTCACGAGGATGACATATGTGAAGTATGCAAGCCTTAGCCGTAACCGTTCAAAAGTTATGGCCAAGGTTAAAGTTTTTTAAAAAGTAGGTCAAACTCCAGGGTCAAGTTCAAAGAATCAAAGTTTTCGGTATCCAATGAAATATTTTGTCAGAAGAATTACATACTATGTAATGTGTAGTATGTGAAGTATGAAAGCCCTAACCCTTACCGTTCAAAAGTTAAGGCAAAGGTTGAAGTTTTTTTTAAATAGTTAAACTCGAAGGTCAAAAGGTCAAAGTTGTTGATATTGAAATGAAGGACTTGTCACAAAAGTTGTTGATATTGAAATGAAGGACTTGTCACAAAAATACATATGTGAAATACGAAAGTCCTAGTTCCAACAGTTCAAAAGCTATGGAAAGGTTAAAGTTTTTTTAAAAGTAGTTCAATCTCCAGAGTCAAGGTTATAGTATTAAAGTTGCTGTTATCCAATGAAAGATCTTGTCAAAAAAGAAGACATATGTGAAGTATGAAAGTCATAGCACCAACCGTTCAAAAGTTATGGTCAAAGTAAAATTTTGGTGTTTTTTTTGTAAAAGTGTGTTCTAGTTCTAAGGTCAAGTTAAAAAGGTCAAATTAGGTGGTACCCTAAAAAAGATCTTGCCACAAGAAATACACCTGTGAAATATGAAAGCCATAGCTATACCCGGTCAAACTTTATGGGTAAGGTTAATGTTTTTGCGAATAGGTTACTTTTAAATAATATGTCATCTTAGAGCTGCTTGTAGAATATAAATAAAGTCCTTGTCTGAGAGACGCTACTGCAAAGAATACTACGTCCTCCTGGAACTCCAAGGAAGACAGATGTCATAATTGTGATTTTTTGAAGTTGGAATTTTTTGCTCAATACACAGCCCCTTGCGTTTTCAGATGATATTTCAAAGTATTTGAGCTTCTGCAAGGACCCCCCTTTTTTAGGTCAAAGTTCAAGAATAGAAATTCGAGCATGTCAAAAATGGTTTCTTGATGAAAACTTTTTTAGTTTTTGTAATGGAATTTAGTGTATATCCAATGGACTTGGATTTTTTCAGTGAGATTTGCTCAAGTTCAAAAACTCATACCTTGCAAAAATGAGTTTCCTGTTGATGAGTTTGGTTCTCTTCGAGGTTTTGCAGTGAATTTTTATCCCATTAGTCAAACAACTTTTAAACACCTACTTATTTAGAGATCGTGCGGTCAGAAATTCATATATAAATTATATATTTATAGCAATGCATAATTTTCAGATGATAACTTTAGTTCTTTGTTTGTTTTTGCAATGCAAAATGCTTTGTTTAACATTTAAAAGACCTAGTTGACCTTAAGGACAAACGCGTAGAGGTCAATATCGATAATTTTGTTCAACTTTCTCCATCTACATTTCTAAACTTACTTACTTACATATGCCTGCTACCCCATTTGGGGAAAAGACCGCTGACAAAATTCCCCCAGGCCCCTCTATCCTAAGCAATGCTTTCTACCTCCTTCCAGTTCTTCCCCATTCTTTCGACGTCTGCCTCCAAATCTCTCCGCCTGGTGTTCTTTAGCCTCCCTCTCTTACGTTTTCCTTGGGGGTTCAAGGATAGGTTTACCTTGTGATGTTCTTATGTGGCTTGCGTAGCATATGCGCTATCCACCTCCACCTTCTCTGCGTTATTTCTGCTTCTATCGGGGCTTGGTCTGTTCTTTGCCGCAAATTGGTGTTACTTATTTTGTTGAGCCATCTAATCTGGAGGATGCGTCTTAGACAACAGTTAACGAATGTCTGGATCCTGTTTATTATGGCAACGGTCATCCTTCATGTCTTGGAACCATAGAGAAGCACAGCCTTAACATTGGTGTTAAAAAGCCTAACTTTGGTGCATATTGTAATTCCCTTGCTCTTCCAAATGTTTCCAAGTTGCAGGAATCCTACTCTGGCTTTTCCTATGCTTGCTTTTATGTCCGTTTTTGTTTCTTCTTGTTGCTCCACTTTACTGCCAAGGTAGGTGAAATATTTTACTTCCTCTATTTCCTGACCTTCTATATTTAATGGAGCATGTGACAGTGTGTTTGCTCTTAGGATCTTTGTTTTTGCTAAGTTGATGTTGAGTCCTATCTGTGCTGATGTTTCTGCCACTGGTGTAATTTTCTCCTGCATTTATGCCTGGGTATGTGATAGGAGTGCCATGTCATCTGCAAAGTCTAGGTCGTCTAGCTGTAACCATGGTGTCCATTGTAACCCATTTATTCTATTGTATGTGGATGATTTCAGTCTATTGCAAGAAGAAAAAGAAAGGGTAACAAAAGACATCCCTGACGAACTCCTGTTTTTACTTCGAATGGTTCCGTCATTGTCCTCCATGTATGATCCTGCATGCCAGGTGTTAATAAGAGTTGTGGATGATATTTACAAGTTTACATGGAACTCCATAATGTCGCAGAAGTTTCATATTGTCTTCCTGTCAACACTATTAAAGGCTTTCTCATAAACTATGAAGACTACATAGAGGGAGGAGTTCCAGTCAGCACATTGACTGAAAAAGGTCATGTTAGATGGTCTTTCCAATTCACGGATAGCTAATGTAGAAGATGACGTCATTGTGTTACATTCATAAAATTTACTTAATTAATCCTCTGAAGTGATTCTTTGCTACTGATGTTACACGAAGTCTCCCGTATTTTTTGCGAACATTAGGTGTTTCATGTTATTGGTTTATGTTTTATAGGTTAGAAATGATGCTATGCATATTGATATCACTTCTTGCAAGCAATTGTAGACTGCGATACACCTGCTTCCAGTCGCCTGTTTTCCTTTTTGTGCTATGCCACATTCAGATACAGCATTTTTAGAAAGCGTCAATTTTCAGATTCAAAATATTGAGAACCCCGCTTTTGATAGTCCCTTTGTGCGTGAAGGAATTGCATCAGAAAAAACAAATTAAAACTGAGATCAAACTGTTGTGGGTATTTTGCAAAATCATGTCTTTTTGTCTGTGGGATTTGTAGAAGAGCTTTAAAGTTAACAAATGCATTAAAAAAATATCGCATTTAAATAATAATGCATCATATCCATCTACGACAAAAGGTATGACAAAGCTATAATACATTTTTTAGAATATTGTTCGTACTATGCGTTTCTTTTTGTGACGAGTATATTTTATATATCTTCTTTGCTATAGTCAAGAGTAAGGAGAACTGTTCGCCTTTGGTTTGCTGTCTTAAAATTAAGGCCATCTTTGTCTTTGAGTGTTATCGAACAGAACAATATTGTTAGTAAGGCCGTGGAAAACAGCGTAAATCGTCAAAGTGAGCTGCATTTTTAGGGTGTTTAGATACAATAGAATTGGTGTTTGATAGTACTTGTTGGTGGTACTGGTGGGTAATTTGATCTACACAGTCCTCAGATCTAAACATTATTTAAATTAAATTCTACCGAGAGACAGATCAGATCAAAAATACAAAACATCGATCGCTGTTTCAGTACGTAGACCTATAAGTGAGTGACTAGGATACTGTTTCAGTACGTAGGCCTATAAGTGAGTGACCAGGATACTGTTTCGGTATATAAAGGCCTATAAGTAAATGGCCAGGATATGAAATATCCTCTCTTAAGTAAACCCAATTGGCCTTGATATTCCGTGGGAAGTGCTGTAAATTTCGTTGGATGAAAGCTTTGGTGGAGTTTGCTTACTTTTTGATAGTGTCAGTATACATTTATTGACTGAGTTCGAGGGCAACATGCTTTTGTCGTACCCAAGAACAAAACTGTCTGCCTTAGTGCCTGAGGCTTAGGCCGAAGGCAGACAGTTTGGTTCGAGAGTCCACAAAACGCATTTTGCCCGAGAACATACAGTCAATAAATGTTTTGTTATACCTTTCATTTTCTTTTTTTATTTAACATGTATGTATTTTGTACTGTCTTCCGTGATGTAACCTCAGGTACGTCAATTTTGAACAACAACGAATGAAAATGAGATTAAGCTCCGCCCATTCTATGACGTAAGCGGTCCAACATTTCATCGACCGGTCGTACATCTCACTCAGCGGTCCAACATTGATTTTTTTAGGCCCGCTCAGCAAAAAATTAGAAATGTTAGATTTTTCGTATAAATTTGTATAGAAACAAATTTTCGAAGGTATAACAATATGTATTGTCATTCCATCTTAGGCTCTTGTGGATGGCTACCCCCACTGAGGAATCTGACAGGATCCACTTCTTCTAACATGCATCCGCGGATGTCGTAGGAGCTGCCCTTAGGTTTATATTTTTCGTTATTTTCAGCAGTTTGTATTTGCTGGGAGTGGATTACAATCTACCAGGCTGTTTCCCATCGAGTGTACTTTCTGTGAGATTTGTAGAATAGCTATAAAGTTAACAATTGCATTTAAAGAATAACGCATTTAAATAATAATGCATCATATCCATCTAAGACAAAAGGTAAGACAAAACTATCATACATTATTTAGGATATTGTTCCTAATATGCGTTTCTTTTTGTGATGAGTACATATATCTTCTTTGCTATAGTCAAGAGTAAGGAGAACTGTTCGCCTTTGGCTTGCAGTCTTAAAATTTTAGGCCATCTTTGTCTTTGAGTGTAATCGGACAGAATAATATTGAACATTATTAAAGGACGTGGAAAACTGCGTAAATCGTCAATCAAAGAAAGTTGCATATTTTGGGGGTGTTTAAGATAAAATAATTTGGTATTCAATCGTACCTGTTGGGAAATTTGATCTCATTGAAGAATATCAATTCCCACCTACATTTATTTGGTCTACACGATTCCCAGATCTGAAAACTTTTATTAAAATTTATCTTTATTAAATTAAAATTCTACTGAGAGACAGATCAGGTAAAAATACAAGACTTTGGTCACTGTTTCAGTACTTATAAGTGAATGACCAGAATTTGAAATAACCTTTCTTAAGTATACTTAAAGTCTGTATGCATCGTATGCAACGTATAACGACGAAAAATGACCCCCGTAGAATATTGACCAGGAAGTCATTTTTCTACGTAGAAAAATGACCCCGGGTCAATATTCTACGACCAAGTAGGGTCATTTTTCGACTGTAGAAAAACATTCCAGACCAGTAATTCTACGACTTTACACACGTTGAAAAATGACCCCCATAAAAATTTGACCCCTTACTCTTTTATACTATTAAACTTTATATCTGTGCCCCCTGATATTTTTTTCATATTTAGGGGGGGGGGGTTATGTACTTTAATTCTTTCCAACATATATTTGATTACATATCTTAATAGTAGCATCGCAATCAATGTATCTGGTATGGATTTATCCCAATGAAAAAATTCAAGAGTAATGGGCAACAATATATTCAAGAAGTGGTGTGAATCAGATGTGGATACTCAAAAATTCCAATAAACTTTTGGACAATTTGAAATCAAGATTTTACAAAAACCAACAGCTTAAAAACTTACAACTTTTCAAAGAAGATGGGGGGATAAGGCAAGCAGAATGCCTATAGCGTCAGATATTAAGAAATCACATTTGATATGTAAATTGAGTATTTAAATTTACTTCTCATTATCATACAATTACAGTGTATAGCCTTTTGATGAGGTCAATCCCTCGATATATAGACCTTAGAGAAAGCATATCGACCGAGCACGGCATAGGCAAATATTTTCAGTCTTTGTGAGATTTTTGTAAATTGTAGAGATTTTACATTAAGTATACTTTAATATTAGATGAAATATGAAATAAAATTTGGATATAATTGGTAATCTAACAACCAAGCTATATAATAAACGTGATGACTTTAACTTTTCTATCATCAGCTTCCCTTACTTATGCAGCAATATACCTTCATCACCTGCATACGGAGTTTATATATCTTAGTTGATTCGATAGGCAAGGGCCTGCTCTACGTATGAACAATTTCTAAAACGGGGTAAATTATTGACAAACAAGTTGATGAAACAAGAATGTCAGCAGTCTCGCAGTCTCGTTTGAAGTCATCATTTTGTAAATTCTATGTTCGATACAATGAACTTGTCAAGAAAATACAATTTATCATTGAGTCAAATGCTGACTGACGTTTTTCATACAATAATTATTAGTCCATTATTTATACACTGAATTGACGACGGATTTTTCCATTATTTCCTGATCATGACAAGGAGCACACGGCGGGCGTGACCGGTCAGCAGAGGATGATCACTCCTCCATGGCACCCGATCCCATCTCTGATGTTTTGGAGTTTGCTCTGCTCCTATTTTGTATTGTTTTATGGATTTTGTTATTGAATACTGTTCGTGATCTCCATATCCTTCTTCATTGAGGAGCATAAATTTATGATTATATTTTTGGGTGTTTTTTTTTAATCATTCAAAGGTTTTGTTCCGAAAATGGCATGATATGTTTTTGATAACCATAAACTTTGAAAATGTTTACAAATCCAAAAACATAGCATAAAAGCAAGAAGACAACGTAATTTAACTATATTCAATTCCCTTAGCTCTTACCTTTAAACTTATATATACATCTATATGCATTCTGCTTTAAAGTACATACTTTTTAACTACCTTATATAAAATACTATATTTTTTCCTGTATTTACGGGAAATACCATACACATCAAGAACGTTCTTATAATGATATTAAAAATCCTCCAAAACTGGCTAATTTACATCTGAGTGAATAATAGTTCAACCTTCAGAGATATCTATAAAATAAAAAAAAATATTCTTTTCAACACTTTTTAGCCCACAGACACCTGACAAATGGTTGCTGTAACACTCCCTTTCTTCTGAGATTTTATAGACACTAACCTTGCAAATACAAATGAACTCTTGGTCTATCATGCCATTACTTTGATATAGTAAGTCCTAGCACATACCATTCAAAAGTTAATGCCAAAGTAAAAGTTTTTGTGTAAAAGTGTGTCAAAACTCCAAGATCAAGGTCAAAAGGTCAAAATTGGTTATACACAAAAAAGGTCTTGTCATAAAAATACACCGGAAATATGAAAGCTATAGTTCCATCCAGTCTGAAGTAATGGGCAAGGTTAAAGTTTTTGCGGACAAATAGACAGTGGTCTAGACGGACGGACAGGTAAAAAACTATATAGTTTATACCCCCCGAAACTTCGTTTCCGGGGGCATAAGTATAATATGTAAAGTAACAACTTTTTCATATTCCATCATTTTTTTTTCTATTGGTAAAAAAAACTCCCTAAATCATTTCATATTAGTACACATAGAACATTGAAAATGATACTACGTGTGCCAATTTTTGGAGAGACGAGCAATTCCTTTTTAGTTAATCATGTTTTATTCTACAACGCCCATTTTGTTAAGGTTTTGCTGACACTACAGCAAACAACAAAAGACATTTTACAAATTTTAAGCTAACCACTTTTTGTTTCCTTTGTACCATAGGTCAGAGGCCATTTAATTTCGTACTTATTTTTACAAATTAAATCATCCCTATTTTTTTATAAGAAGTTTGAAACTTCATTCATAGAAACCAATATATTTTTATCAGATTTAATTTTCTAAGCTAGCGCCCTTTTTTGCGCCACTTTTAAAAGTAGGGATCAAACTTCTGAAAAATAAAACTTTATTTTGAGTTTTGCAAATTATTTATTCAGGGTAAAATCAAAGAGATTTATATTTAATGAATTATGGAAACCTTTAAAACATTTTTTTCTGACACCAGCGAGAAAATGGACTTTTAAAGATTAAAATGACAACTGTGGAAACTTACTATATAAAATGTAATAAACAACTCTATGAATGCGCGTATCTTTGCTCTAATAGCCTTAGAACATTTTAATAGATATAGTTTTCCTTTAATGGGGATAAAACGGTTTGTATCATTAATGTAAGGTATATAGCTTTGATTTCGTTATTTCAGCTTAAAAGCTTTCAGAAATTAACATTTCAAAGTATAGGACTGCTTGCTATTACCCTATACATTCACCTAACAAGAATATTCCTACCAAAACGGATGTTTTTGCATCAAAAAATGACACCAGCGAGGGGTCATTATTCTACGGGGTCATTTTTCTACAATGCACATGGAGAAAAACGACCCCAAGGCCATAATTTCTACAGAAAAGTGGGTCATTTTTCTACGTAGAAAAATGACCCCCGGTCAATATTCTACGGGGGTCACTTTTCGTCGTTACACCGGCAAGATTATGCCAAGCGATAATTCAGAAAGGCTATGCTTATAAATACTAACAAAAAATGTAAGTAGAGTAATATTTTTATTGCTATAATTGATTTCAAAATATGCTCACTCAACTCATCAAATATGACGTCAGCCATGTTTGTTGCAATACTTTTGGTCGCTCGGTGAACATGAAATTAAATTACATGTATCTGAATGCAGGATTTTATTTCTATTTTCTCAAGAATAACTTTTGAAGTTTCATACTGCAACTTTTTTATACCGTGCAAAAGTTTAAATAAAATTATATCATTGCACAACAAATTGTAACAATATTCGAAAACTATTTATTCGTCAACTCGTAAGTGAAATTAATACAAATGCCCACAAGTTAAAAACTAAATGTATAAAGACTTATCTATCATTGTATAACAACATAAATCACTTCTTATTTCATATCATATAAATATTCATTGGTATCTCTGATTAGATTTTAAAAAATCTCAATTTCTTTCAATAGCAATTTTGAAATTGGGACTTTTTGAATTTAATTATAAATTAGGGTTATCCTTCCTGACTGAGGATCGGAGTACCTTAAAGAAGGGAAATGGAATTGAATGAATGATTGATTTTTGTTAAGTCCCTCTCGAAAATTTTTCACTCATATGGAGACGCCACCACTTGCCGGTGGAGAGTTGCAAATTTCGTCCTAAACTCGGCACTCAGGGCCATTGAGCAGGGAGGGGTCTTTTTCGTGCCAGCACCTACTGCAAAACAGGACCTCGGTTTATACGGTATCATCCGAAGGACCGGTCTCCACGTCCCACAATGGAATTCAAATCCGCGACGTAAGGATCAACTCCTTACTTCGCGAGCAGACGCTCTAACCACTGCGCCATGCTGGCGACAAGGGAAATGAGAAAACAATCTACAGTGTACTGAAGAGGATAGGGCGGTGTTTTTGAACACAGCGTGTGACTGTCTAAACAACAACGTATCCACCAATCAATCAATCAATTAATTTCAGCTGGCTCTAAAGAAGTTTGAAAAAAATGCAACTTTTGTGAATCACTGATTCCCCCGTATGACAGCATTTGGCGGAAGTCAAAATTAATCTTGGCCATAACTTTTGAAAAGTAAGTGCTAGGGATTTAATATTTTCACATACTCAGTATATATTTCTTGTCATTGCATTCTTTTGGTACCTTTGATTTGACTCTTTGACCTTGGAGTTTAACCCACATTTGAAAAAAAATATATCTCAATAATTTTCTATATATTCGATCAATGCATACTATCTTTGCAAGATATATAACTGTATTCAGCGGCAGCTCACACATATTGGTCCGACCAAAATAAAAATAAGTAGATACAACATTATTGTTCATGATAAGAGTAAAGTTGTGTATGTCATACGTTAAAGAAATCAAAAATAACGTCAAAATATCATTAGAAAGTCACTTTCCCCCCGAAATGCAAATAAAAAATATCAATATTCCTACGCTCCCTCCTCAGCCTTTTTTTTTTTACGTGTTTGATAACAGAGAATAATTAGGTCATTCTTCGATTCATATCTTTTCACCAATGAATTGATAATACTATATCAACAATTGTATAAAGTACATGTTTATAGTCCGTTAATTATCATACAATTTGTTCTTAAAGAAAAATTTATCATTCTGTGTGTGTATTATTAAATGACGGAATTTTCAATCCCTGGCCTGCTCGTGTGTACACTTTGTAAACTGTAGGGTTGTGTGGCAAAACGAGAACTGCATGGGTTGGAGATTCGGGTTCGTGTTGAATACTTGAATAATGTAAGTAATTTCTGCGACAAATATATTAGTATATTTCAGTTATTTTCAAAACAAAAAAGGTTTTCCATGTTTTCAGTTTAGAATTTTCCGACCCGGTCCTGATTTTCCCAACCCGGCCATTTTAAACACAAGTTGTTGCAGATGCAAATGTTAGAACAAACTATATAAAGTTCAACAGGGATTGTATAATTTTTATTAATCAGAATTCGTATTTATATGATCTAATTAAGAAAAGAAAAGTTTTGTCTGACACCGTAACTTCTCGGCAAAACAAAACGTGTTTCTCCGAGCTCGCTGGATGCGTGTGACAGCTCCATTGCACGTGTGTAGACCAAGGCTACAGGTACATGTAGGCCTATGTGTACTGTTTGTTAGGAGACTGGGTGACCGTAATGCTATGGAATCACGATATTTACAACAGTTCCATAATTAGACAGTGCAGTTTTTTTTTATTAACGTCATTATAAACACTGTTAAACATATTAAATCTAACAGTCGAATATCTTTAGATATGGGGTAACCCATATCTATTCTTGTCATCATTAAGTTTGACGTGAGAAACCTCGACCATCGCCAAATGCTGTCATCAGGGGGCATCGGTGTTTCACAAACACATATTGTTATTCCCCCGCTTGAAAAGTGGGAAGGTTTATAGTGATCGGGATGTCCGTCCGTTTGTCTGTACGTCCGTCCATCTATTAAGCGTTGGTGTACCCATTTCTTATCTATAACACCTCTTATAACACTGAATGAAATTTAATGAAACTTTCAGATTCTTTGTTACATAGTGCCAATGTGCCATTCCTATTTTAGTTTTTATCGGAAACATATTTCGGGTCTCCCCTAGCAAAACATTGACACTAACATTTTTTTTATAATATTAAAGGGTAAACATCTTTTTAGGAGCCCGTTTGAAAAGTAGGATGGTAAATAGTGATTGTGATTCCCTTACGTCCATCTGTTACGCTTTGGGTTACCCATCTCTTATCCTTAACTCTTCTTAGACCGGGTATGACAAAAATGAAATTTTCTGAGACTTCCACAGAATCTTTATATAAATTTAAGTTCACTTAAATATTTTATTGTAATCAATAAGTGTCCTCCTTGAAAATTTAAGTCTGTTATGTTGTATAGCGATGTATTATAATGGTCACTTTATTGCATGTCTTGGGGGAGGCAGAGATTGACCAATCAAAATGTAAGAAATAAAATTTTGGCCACGCGGTACGTCACTCTTCCTCTTCTCCCACTAGGAGTGAGACGGTTCACCGCGGTATCGATTCACCGCAGTATTTTTTTTCTTGGTTTGATCATGTCGATGCAACAAAATCTCTATTTTTGGTTCGGTTCGTTCGTCATTGAGTCGGGTTTGGCATAAGTATAAACATGCTCCTCTGTATAATTAGTTCAAAAACGTAAATTTTTGTGGACTTTCAGTTTGTTAAATAATTAAAGTTTGTTAAACAATTAAATTTATTTCTTCTATCCATTTTGCACATAAATTATTTGACTGATTAAGTAAAAGGAAGCATAAAACAACAGTTGAATTTTTTTCCTTCATTCTATAAAAATGATTGAAAATAACCGAACTGAGACCAAATTTTATGATACGTATCAAACCGTGAAGGAAGCGTATCTCCCACCTGCAGCCTTGACGGACGGAAGTTTTCAAGTTTGTTATTTATTTTGTTAACTATTAGGTGAGTAAAATTATTTTATCATGTCTTCAAAGGGCAAAACTTTGGTTGTCATTCGTGGTCACTCAATTGTGCGTCGTTTTCACGAATCAGGAAGGTTCCTGATATATCTACGGATATGGAGAGCGTATTTGCTTTAGGTTCCGATGTAGTTGTTTTAATGATTGTGGAGATCGATACTATTTCTAGTATAGATCCTAATTGTTAGCCGCAGAAATTGAAACTGTGATATCGGTTATGCATCGCCGCTGTAAAGTTGCGAAAATAATTGTTTGCAAATTATTGCCAAGATTTGGGGTTAGTTTTGGGTACAATGATGACAGAGTAAACACAATATTGAGAGGTGCATTGCCATCACTTGGTTATTGTGTGTTTTAGGACCACGGAAATTATTTTGTTTCTCCCAAGGGGATGTAGTTGGAAATTTGTTCATCACGGAGTACATTTATTTAGGAGTATAAAGGGACCGTTAATTTCAGCGAGAAAAAAGATTTTCATGAAAAAAAAGAACAAGTTTGTCACAATTTTGATACTTTTAATGGCCGTCAATTTGTTTGATAGATATTGTTTGAAATTACTTAACATTTTACAGTACTATAGGCATGGCCTAGGTACAATTTTCATTCAATTTCGGGTTTCCCATGGCAAAACACTGACAGTGTCATTTTTTCTATAAAAGAAGCTGGTCTGAAGACATTAAATCACATTTAAAGTCAGTTATGGATCTGAAATATGAATAACTGCATTTGAATGTGATTTAATGTCTTCAGATTAGTTTCCTTTTGAAATAAACACAGCAATTTATATTTAAAGACATACTAAGGGTACATAGAAAGGTATAAAATCTTGCTGTGAATTGGGTCGTTTTCCTTTGTACCATTTATGTTATGAATATAATTATGTTTAAATATTATAGGAGACTGCAGGAAATGGAATATAAACATGGTTGTAATAATTATTTAGTGGTTTCTGCATTTAAAGAAGATAAAAATCTTGTATCTAGAATATATTGGCAAAGGAAACTGTCTTCATCACTACAAAAAATAAATACCAGCTCTTAAGATATATCTCACACAACTTTGAAAAACAAATTACAAGAGCATTACCAAACAAGATATATGAACAACTGAAAAATGTTAGCAAATTATATTCTGGAAAGTTAGCTTTTTATAGCAAAATTGTGAATCAAAATTAATACAAACTGCAAAGTTATTTGAGGACGTTCGATCCTGAGATTTTGAGCGTATTTTGGTCAGGTCATTTATTTCTAAACTTCTGCATCATTTTTAAGTTCTAACATTAAATCTGAATTCTACAATGCAAATTTAACTATATCCAATGAAAAAAAACGCGATTAAATTCCATTCAAGTAGAATTAAGCTAAGGACTATATTTTGTGGCGGAAGGTTTCTTAGACGAAAATGATCAGTTTTTCCATTTTGAACTATAACAGTACTGTTAATTTTTGATTCCTATTTTTCCATCCTGGTTGCACACAAAGCTGTTTTTTGCAGTGAAATGTGTTATGCTGGTTCTGAAATATCTATTAAATTATTTCTTATGAATTCTATTAACAAAGTGTGACAAATATTGTCAATATATTCGGAAAATCCAGGAAAAATTTGAGCCAATTTTAATGTTAAATTGACACCTTTTTAGTAATATCTGAAAATTTACTTCATATACCCCAACTTTTGATGTTCTTTTCTAAATATTCAAGATAAATTTGACCTATTTGCTTAAAATCAGAAAAAAGTTTAAGACTTTAAAATAATTTTCTTGCTTATTAAATTTTCAATGCCAGAAAAATCACTTTTCATTAGTGCAGAAAGGTCAAATAATTGATTATGCGTAGCAATTTGAAACTTTCTCTTAGTCACAATTTTTAAGTGTCTCTTATTAAAGAAACTTAGAGTTCATTTTTGTTTCCTGCTTTAATTGGATAAAAATATTGGAGGGAAAACGTCAAAAATTTAATTTTTAATTAAGACACACATTTCAGTGCAAGACGGTCATATTAAATGTACTGTAGCACCAAAAGAAGTGTATTAACCCCCATTTTTTGTATATAGAAAATAAAAATATACTTGGCAAAAAAAGTTTAAGACTTTAAATATCAAGATCAAACGTCGTTAAAACTACCTTTGAAAAAGAGTTATAGATATTTATTAACAAAATTAAGGATCAGTGACCATCCACTGTATATTGAAACAGGTAGATACTGTAAACCCCCTATTCCTAGAGAAAAACGTTTATGTTATTCATGTAAATCGTGTATTGAAGACGAAAAACATTTTGTTCTTTATTGTCCAAAGTATGACCAATAAAGATGCAATTATAAAGAAATATTTAATGAAAACACATACATTAGTGATAACCCCATTAGCAAAATTGTCAATCCTACAAATATTGTCAATCCTACTGCTAGAAGGTGATTTGAAAAAGTGCTTTGACACCAGAAAAGAAAGTCAAAAATGAATGTTAATATTGAGAAATACACAATTTTGTTCACTTCATACTTGCATGTATAAATCGTGTTAATTTGTGTTATGTTATTAATGTTCATGACTGTATGCCGACATGGTAATTGTGAATAGAATTGAATATTTAAGTATGGCACGCCAAATTCACAAAAATGAGCAAAAAGTAGTTTCACAGTCGATAAACTAGGTTTATCGGTTGTATACTATAGTTTACGGACTGTAAACTATATTTAACAACTATATTTTACTATATACCTATATTTTACAACTGTAAACCATAGTTAACGCGATAATCTATGTTTCACAACCGTAAACTATACTTAACACCGAAAACAATCATTTGCGATTGCAAAACATAGATTATCTGATAAATACAGTTTCACGATTTGTAAACTATAGTTTACAAACCATTAACTATAGTTAACGATCTGAAAAATATAGTTTCAAGATTTGTGAAACTATGATTAACAACTCTTAACTATAGTTTACGATTGTAAACTATAGTTTACAAACGTGAATCTATGTTTATCAACAAAATCATTATTAACGATTTATTACAGACAGATAAACTTAGATTAGCATTCGTAAACTATAGTTATCAACCGTTAAATATAGTTTTACAGATGAAAACTATACTTAACGAATCGTTAACTATACTTAAAGAATCGTTAACTATAGTTTACGGTTTGTAAACTATAGTTTACAGTCGATAAACCTAGTTTATCAATTGTGAAACTAGGTTTATCTCATTTTTGTGAATTTGGCGTGCCATATCTAAGGGTAACCGTCTCTTATCCGCAACTTCTTCTATACTACTGAATAAAATTTAGTAATACTTTCACAGATTCTTTACTACATAATTTCATTGTGCACCTACGTTTTTTTATCTGGCACTTATTTCGGGTCTCCCAAAGCAAAACATGGACTTTTGTCGAAGATCTTTCATATTTCACATATAGCTTATCCATGACAAGTCCTTTCAAAATATACTTTGATTTTTTACCCTGTGACCTTGACCTTGAAGTTTAACCTACTTTCAAAAATGTCTTTCTTTAGAACTTTTGATTGAGAAGAAATGTCTATTTATACCTGTGACACTTGATGTTTCCGAGCTCGCTATGATCTCTCATATCTTATCCGCAATTCCTCTTATACCCCTGAATGAAATTTAATGAAATTTTGTTACCTAATGCCACTGTGCACCTCCTATTTTTCTTTTGATAGGACACATATTTTTGGTTCTTCGATGCAATGCATGGCCACTGCTATTCTTTCTATAACATTGAATATTACCACTGCTATTCTTTCTATAACATTGAATATTACCTATATCTCTTATCCGCAACTCCTGTTATACCACTGATTGAAATTTATTGATACTTTCACGGACTCTTTCGAAAAAGTGCCATTGTGCACCTATTTTTCTTTTTGATCGGTCAGTTATTTCGAGTTTTCCATTGCAAATCATGGACTTTGCTATTATAATCATCTTGAAGGCGGGGGTTGGGGGCATCATTTAGTGAGCTCAGTGCTCACAGTACGTACGTCTAGTTTTCGATGTACTCTATTTTGGCGATGCATACTAGGAAATGGAAGGACAAAAACAATGTGTAACGTTACCAATGATTCCAAGCATCAGACTGGCAGTATGAAGGTATATGTCTGCCACGTGCAAGATAAACTAGAGTTACTGTGTGCAATGAGCTCACTAAAGGATACCCCCACCTTCCACATGGTCATGATGGCAAAGTCCATGGTAAGAGATGGGTACCCTTCAATAGAAAGAATGACCGTGTCCATGTTTTGCTCTGGGAAACCCAAAATATGTGTCAGATCAAAAAGTAAAGTAGGAGGTGCACAAATGCATTATGTAACAAAGAATCTGTGAAAGTATTATTAAATTTGTATTTACTCTCTTATTTTTTCACTATAAGTTCACCTTTCACATACTTACTAAGTTTGGTAAAGACTATAGCAATTTAGTAATTATTTCACCTGGTCAAATTCCCGTTTTTCACATAATTTTTAATTACCTGCAATTCAAATGTGTGCAAAACGGGAACAAACCTTTTATTCAATGGTATAGGAGTTGCTGATAAGAGATGGGTACCCCAAAGCATAACACGTGGACGAATAGACAGACGCACGGACATCCCGATTACTAAATACCCTTCAACTTTTCAAGTGGAAGTATACCAAATACACGTATAGGATACATACAATTAGCTTTTGTATCTTAATTAACGGTTTCAAATAAATATATCATTTGTTGAAATAGCTTTTACGTACGAAACAACTAGGCAATGTTTACAAGTATGTTGATGCTACATGTACATGTCTAAATCTTTTTTTTACATTATCAGATCATACACAATATCCGAAGGAAACTTTGTCATCATGGACATACAAGATAATCCCTCGTCATTATTAGAATCAGATAATCCTAGTCCTCAGGATCGACCAGTATGGAGTCGAAAAATAGAATATCTTTTATCTCTGTTTGGTTACAGTGTGGGACTGGCTAATATCTGGAGATTTCCTTATCTTTGTATGAGAAACGGAGGAGGTAGGTGTACTCTACAAGTAAAAAAAAATTATACATGTATTTAGTAGATATAAGGGAGAGGGCTTAAATATGCTTTGCCTTTTATCAAATCTCATTTACTTTTTTATGAATAAATATATACATGTATATAAATTATATTAGTTTATTTGAACCTAAAATTTTGTTCTAACCCAAATATTATTAAGTTTCGTGAAGTCATGTGCCAAAATGATGTTGATTCTTTGAAAAAATTATGTACATTTATTTTTTAAATTAATAGCATTGTCTGTTCTCCCTCATCGTCTCAAGCCACGGTCCGGAGTCCGCATGTAGCTCTCTCCTACCCGTGGCTGCTTGATCACAAAAAGTGTCGTAATCTTGAATATTTACGCCTCTCTATTGTGACGTCATATTCAGTAGTGGCAAGTTTTGTTTCCATCGCAATTGAAATCAACAACTGACGTCAACAGTATACAAGAAATATTTCCTTTACTGCTATTGGATATTGAAAGGTCGCAATAAAGTTCATCTTCCGACTATGCTTTACTCGCATTGGTCAAAATTTTAATGAGCTACGAAGAATTCTCTCCTCGTTCAACCACGGCCAGAATGGGAGAGGATCGTACATTTTAGCCGTGGTTTGCGACGATGGTTCTCCCTAAGTATCACCTTCTGCTAGACCCACTGTATTACAGGTTACTCTTGATGGCTCGAACTTCGATCTCTCGAAGTTCTTGATCGCTCGAAGTGAGTCTCCGGTCCCGATTTTTTTCCCTATATAACTGAGCAAATTTACTCTTGATTTCTCGAACTCTTGATCTCTCGAAACCCTTGATCCCTCGAAGTCAAAATGCAGTCCCGCTATGCATATTCTATTGGAATTTACCCTTGAAACCTCGAAGTGTTTACAATGTTACATAATTAGCGACTGTAAATGGCCGCAGGCAGAAGACGCGGGTCTCGAGAAACGGGATGTTTATTCAGGTGACATTTATACTGCTAGGTGATAATTGATTTATGATTAATCACATGTTGCCTATATGCTATTAAAATAATTATCATCAACTGTCTTACGACAATTCAGAGAAGCGGTGTCAATGAAAAATAGTAAATTGAATAGAAGATGAAAAACTAAATAGTTTTTATTTCGAGTCAGTGTCAAAGTTAAACGAAATATGAAAATGTAGAGACAGCCTCAATGTCAATATTACGACTGTTGTTGCACAAATACTTACAGAACTTCGTTCAATGTTAATGATCATGTTTGAAGTAGTCAATCCGTATGTATGGCGCGGTAAAATGTCGTTATCATTTAACGAATGCGTAGTTTGACGTCCGTATCAAAAGGAATAAATAAATAAACATGAAGTGACGAAGTACATTTTTTTATTTACTCAATTTAATAAATATTTATCTACAATACGAAAACATACCGTTGTTTTATAAACACCACGTGTATAAAAGGTTAGCACTGCATGAAAATTATTACATCAGGTAAGACTAATTTCAAAACCGGTCAACAAACCTGGAGAATTCCGGACTCTTGAAATCTCGAACTCTTGATCTCTCGAAGTTTTCTCTCGGTCCTGCGGACTTCGAGGTATATATGTATACAAGTGTCTCATTATATCGCGGTACTTAAATCTTTTGCATAAAAAAGTGTAATTTGATCTTTTAAATTTAACTTTCATCAAATGATATTAATAAAGCAAACTATGGCCTAACTTTTTAGCATCAAATTATTTCCCAAGCTTGCATCGTCTAAGTTGTAGTCTATTTTTGAAACAGGAAGTCTCATTTACCTCCTAAATTGGAGATTCTCATAGTATCACGGTATGGGAAAACATGGAAACTTGAGGTTGACATGGACTTCAATTCTTATTTTTTATTTTACCATGTAATTTTACGTAAGAAAATAAACAATTATACAAACTAAAGTCTTTCAAAACATGAACTTTATATGGATTTTACTATATTATAAACTCATCGGGCTAAAAATAATAAAAACGGAGATCGATTTCTGTAAAATTACGTTTTATTTGAATAATTTTTTTTCCGACGCATTTTCCATACTTTTTAATCATCACAAAAATTTACATTTAGAAGACAGACTGACATTTTTTTCAACAAAAAGCATATGAGCTATGTATCTGATTTTTTGGAATATACCGCGATACAATGAAACCCGCGATATAATGAGAATCGAGTATATATATGTTTTATATGTTTTTGTACCTCATGTACCATTTACATGGTTTTGAGTGAATAAATTGAATTGAATTGACAGAGATATGATAAAGTTTCGTCATCAAAGCGTAAGGAAATACTGGAATCACCGTGTCTATCTGTGTGATCTGCTGCAGGGGTAATAAAGAAAGAATGTCTATTAATTGCAATGTGTGAATTTCAGGTGCCTTTTTGGTTCCGTTTTTTATCTTGCTGTTCACCAGTGGAGTTCCTCTTTACTTTTTGGAAGTAGCCCTTGGACAGTTTACTGGAAAAAGCCCCATTGTAGTATGGTCCATTTCCCCGTTATTCAAAGGTACTTTTACGTGTTTTATGTTTCAGTTCAACTGAGCCATTTCATTTTGAAATATTGCTCTTTATCTGTCCAGATGCATTTCGCTTGAAAAACGTCATTGAGTATTCTTATTGCGAAGCTTTTCTGTCAAGATAATTTCTACCAGAGGATAGAGTTAAAAAATTAAATTCTAGAAAATTTATTAATTTTTATAAGGCAAATCTTCGTTAAGATAAAATTTGATTAAGAAATCTTTGAATTTTTGTATTATAAGTCTTTGATGGTTAATCATTGTAAAAATAAAAGTTGAAGAAAACTGATTTTTGTATTGTAGGCCTTGGATGGCTAATGATGACACTCTCCTTTCTGGTGGCTTGGTACTTCAACTTGGTCATTGCATGGGTTCTCTATTATTTCGTCCATGCTTTTTTCCCAAAGATCCCCTGGGCCACTTGTGATAACTGGTGGAACACAGAGCAATGCATCGTCAGCCACAAGGATAGACTTAACCTAAACAATTCTTTGACGAATCAATCTACAGCAGCATGGACTATCAATGAAACCGAATCCCTTTTCAATACTTCCTATGGTAGCCAGAATATAACATATAATACGGCAGCATATGAATTTTGGCAGTATGTTCACGATTGTGTCTTTTAATATTGAATGATACACATTGACATCAAAACGCTTTTTCTTGTTATTCATTTTTTTTCAAACTATTTGTAGTTATAATGTTCTTAGACGTTCTGATGGTATAGAGTATCCTGGTTCTGTTCAGTGGCACCTGGTTTTGGTTCTTCTTGCTTCCTGGGTATTGACATTTGCATGCCTTATTAAAGGTATACACTCAGTGGGAAAGGTGAGTTGTCTTGCATTAATTGATGTTTCTAATATTTCTTAGCTGCAGAACTGTAGCGTTATGGTTTTATCGTTTATAAGTCTTTGCCAGGGACTTAAATATGAAATATGGTCGATACAATGACCTTGTCAGCAAATACAATTTATCATTAAGTCAAATGCTGACTGACGTTTTTCATACTAATAGTTAGTCTATTATTGTAACCCCTGCAAACGAAGTTTAGGGGGTGTATTGAAATCACCATGTCCGTCTGTCTAGCTGTCCGTCCGTCCGTCAGTCAGTCCGTCTGTCTGTAGATGAGATTTTGTCCGGACCATTACTCAGAAACTATTGGAAGGATTTGTCTGAAAATTTGTACACATATTATTCACCGTATGAAAGTGTGCACCTGATATTTTCATCTTGATTAGATGATTATTTTGAATTTTACAAGTGTTTTTTTCATTTTTATTTTGTGGTTTTGTGCAGACCGTTTCTCAGAAACTATTGCAAGAATTTATCTGAAAATTTGTACACTTACTATTCACCATATGAAGGTGTGCAACTGGAATTTTCAACTTTATTTGTTGATTTTTCTGCATTTCACATGTTTTATTTTTTACTTTAATTGACTTGTTCATTTTGGGCTCATGTATAAGGTTTGAGATATAGAATCTAGAATATCTGTACAAAAATGTGAACTACAGCTGAAAACTACTCATTAAAACTAAAAAAAAAAGAAGAAATCATCAAGTGTTATAAACAGTTTTTACATTACACAAAAAATAATGTAAATTCATTTGTCTCTTGGGAATAATGACTGGACATGCATCCAGTTAAATATAAATTAAAGAGTTTGGTGTGGGAAGTTGTTAAGGCATCTCTTTTATCTATAATCTCCTGGGAATTTTGCACAAGATTTAAAGATCTCTCTTCTCTTATTCTCTTTATTGTAATTTATTGTCTGTCAAAGCACTTCATTACTGGATGACCAGCTCTTTATTTTCAAAATGAATTTGATATAAAGAATATCAAGATTAGTTTGATTTTGTATAGTATGATTTTTTTTTTCAACAATCACTTTGCAGAGTGTCATGACACATAATTAAGGTCTTCCGTTTCAGACGGAAGACCTTATAGTGCTTCTACTGTTTTTAAGGTCTTTCGTTTCCAACGGAAGACCTTCTACTGATTCTGATGGTAAAGATTATTATTCTTTTTTTTTCTTCTACTTCCTAGACCGCAACTTTGAGGCCTCATATCTCACTCATTTCTCAATGGATTTCGCTCAAATTTTCAGAGGTTATAGACGTTTATAAACTCTATCAGAATGCTGACTAAAATTTCAAAAAGTCACTTCCGGTTTTGAGTTATTTTCCTTTAAACGAAAATTTATAGGCTTTCGTTTCCAGACAAAGGCTCAGAGACGGCTAAAGCTGGGGCAGAAATTCTACTGATTTTAGATAATAGAAGGATTGAAGTTGTGCACATCGGTTTTTGTTTTTCGATTTCTCTATTCAAAATTGCGCTATATAGGGGTCAAAAATTAGAACGCTTAAAAGAACCAAAAATTACTCATATTCTGCTTTTTATCTTCTATACTAAAGATATTTTGTTAAAATATATAGAACATAATTTGTGCAGAATTAGAAGATCTTTTAAATGATATGTCGAAAAAAGGGCTGTCCCCTAAATTAAGGGATTTAGAGGGGCCAAAAGTTTTTTCCAGATATCTCAAAAAGTATTGAGAATTTGTAATACGTTAAAGAAGCAAAGTTGTTGAAAATGTCAACCTTAATCTGATGAGGTCGTCAAAATACGTCCAGCGTCGTCACTTCCGGCCAAACAGGAAGTAGTCGGAAAACGCATAAAATGTTCATATGTCTCTGGGAGCTTAAAAATTAATCTCGTCATCAAACCGGAAGTAGCAAAAAAAGGCTTATTTTTGCATTAATTAACATAGCTGTAGAGGATTCAAAGCATTTTTGGGCGTTATTTCTCATTTTTGTGAAAAATGAAAGCACTTCCGGTCAAACCAAACAGTTGCTTTGCAACGAGCTTTGCTCTAGTTTCTTATTATTATTTTTTCCCCAAATCTTGTCGGCAGCATTTCTCAGAGATGGCTGGACAGATTTACCTATAATTTTCAGGGATGATAGAAAATGAAAATACCCCGAGACTTTTTTTTTTAATTTTTTTTCAAAATTCACTTCCGGTCGTCAGATATATCAGATTTCCGCTTTTTTCAAAAACGAGTGAGATCTCAGAAATAGTAAGAGATTAAGGCACCAAACTTTTAGGGATGATAGATCTTTATAAGTAAGCAAATCCATTTGGGTTAAGATTGTCCGCCGTCACTTCCGGTCGTCGCAGGAAGTGTTCATAAATATCGAAAATTTCAACTTTTCTTTTTTGAAATTTTTTTTTACATCACATTATATCATCTTACGTGTAGTCTCGAAATATGTCAGTCCTACCGGAAACAAAAACGACAACTTCCGGTTATAAGAGAAAAATTTCATAATTTGAGAATTTTTCTTTCCCATGAATATTTTTTATAGATAAAGATTTTTGGAATGATTTGGAATGACTTCCGGTCACGTGATTTCTTGTCCTCAAAATGAGAAGTTAACATTACGAGATCTCTTAAACAGTAACAGTTCAAGACACTTTACTTACCATGAAGATTGTGCAACAAACATAGGGTAAAATGCGTTCGCCGTCACTTCCGGTCGTCGCAGGAAGTGATTAAAAATGATTTCTATAGATGTTATTAAAAATATAAATGTCTAAAGTTTCGTCGAGAATCTTGGTAAGTTATACCTCCGGCTGTTTTTTTTTCCTGTAATAATTGTAAATATTATGTGCCTCTTTTACAAGCTCATTCATACAGGTAAATAGAGGAGAACGGAAGACTGTTTTTGTTGCTGTAGCAACAAGAGTTTCTAGTTGCAATATATTTTTTTAATGCAGAAAAAATGTTACAATGTATTAGTATTGATGTTTTAATTGGTTGTACCTTTGTTTCATTCATTAAGAAACATAATGAGCAATTATATCTCACTGCAAATTTTTGTACGTAAATTAATTGTGAACACTCTAGATCCATAAAGTATTTGTGAATTGGCACCTTCTCTAAAAAACCCAGCGGGGGTATTTGCCCCTATTGGACAGTTCTAGTTTATACACTGAATTCACGACGGATTTTTCCGTTATTTCCCGATCATGACAAGGAGCATACGGCGGTTGTGACCGGTCAGCAGGGGATGCTTACTCCCCCATGGTACCTGATCCTACCTCTGATGTTTCGGAGATCCATGTTTGCTCTGCTCCTATTTTGTATTGTTTTATGGAATTTGAGATTGAATATTGTTCGTTATCTCCATATCCTTCATGCAACAGTTCTGCACCTAACTTTTTGTATGCTTTATTTTTTTCTCTTTAGATTTCAGTAGTTCAGTAGAGAGAATTATCAATAGAAATTGTGAATTCAGAGATTATTGGAGGATTTTTTTCACATAGGTCGTGTATGTGACGGTTATTTTTCCATACATTCTATTGACTATTCTCCTGATACGTGGTGTAACTCTTGATGGCGCCATTGATGGAATTCTTTTCTACCTGACCCCAGACTTTACAAAACTTCTACGCTTTCAAGTAAGATCTACATTCAATATAGGAGAAATTAAACAAAACGCTTTTTCGAAGATTTTAAAATGTATATTGTAATTTTTTGTACTTGAATACTAATGTAAAATATGGTTTTTCAAGCGTACAGTAAAAACTGTTTAATCCAACTCTAATGCAATCCATCACACTGTGAATTCCGACGTTTATACAAGGTCATTCAAAAAGTTCGTAGACTTTTGTCCTAACGTTTTAGGCCATCTGAGTAACTCAGGTGACCTATTCCTATCCGTTTTCGTCTGTCTTCGTGCGTCGTGTGTTAACATTTGAACATTTTCAGCTTCTTCTCTAAAACCACTGAACCAATTTCAACCAAATTTTGTATGCAGCATTTATGGGTAAAGGGAAACAAAAATTATCAATTTCATGGTCCCCCCCCCCCCTGGGGCCTGAGGGGTGGGGCCAAAACCACTAAAATTATTGCAATATTTAAAAATCTTCTTCTTTACTCCTGGACATCAAGCAGGCAAACTGTTGGCATGAATGTATTGAGCATTGAGTCCTCTACCAAAATTGTGAAATTCATGGCCCCAGGGTCAGGGGTTCTAGTGCTAGGGCGGGGCTATATAGATTATATAGTGAAAATGCATTATTTCTTCTTCTCTGCTCCTGGGTATTAAATAAACTAACTAAGCACATCGTTATGGTGAGCAAGAGTGCGTCTTCTAAAATTGTGAATTTTATGGCCCCAGGGTCAGGGGTTCTTGTTTTAGGGCAGGGTTCTATTGATTATATAGTGAAAATGCATTATTCTTTGAAAATCTTTTTCTCTGCTTCTGGGTTTTACATAAACTAACTAAGTACATAGTTATGATGAGCAAGAGTGCCTATTCCAAAATTGTGAATTTTATGGCCCCAGGATTAGGGGTTTTGGTGTTAGGATGGTGCTCTATTGATAATATAGTACATACATTAATTCTTTGAAAATATTTTCCTTTGCTTTTGGGTTTTATGCCAATGATCCAAATGTATATATTTATGATGAAGAAAGGTGCATCTAGCAAAGTGGTTTTTATGCCCCCTGGGTCAGAGGGGAGGGGGGGTTACATAGTCTGAAAATAAATTAATGCTTTGAAATCTGCTCTTTGGTATTAATCAACCATTTTATGATAAAATTTGCAAAATTTTGAAATATATGGCCCCTGGGTCAGTGGTTCCTTTGGGGTGAGGTGCACAACTCGGTATAAAGTTGAAGTGCATTTTCTCTTTTTTACTCTGATCTACCTCTGGTATTAAGTAAATAAAGTAAGCATGCTAAGTTAATAATTATGATAAGCAATGGTGCCTCTTTCAAAATTGTGAATTGTGAATTTCATGGCCTCAGGTTTAAAACACTTGAAAGTTGTTACACAATACTCAGGTGACCTATAAGGCCCGTGGACCTCTAGTTATTATTTAACGTCATATTATATCCAAATTTGGTACACGTATTTTAAAACAAATTCGAATAATTTGAGTTAAAAAATTGAAATGTTGAGTATATCTTCATATATTTAAAAATTATTAAAGATTTAGAACAGCAAAAATGGGGTCACGGGGTCAAGGAGCAATGTCGAAATTGATAAATATACTAATTTTCACTTTATATTATCTTCAGCCATACCTGTTGTAATAAATGGAGCTGAATATAAAATAAAATTTACATGTTAAAATTAAGTCTTGCTGTATTTCTTAAGATGCAATCAGGTAATGTAATATATCGCGCCATTTAAAATAATATCAGTTTCTAAATACATGTGGATATGATTAACAAAGGCAAAAATCAATGACATTGGAGAACGTCACGGAGCAGCGAATAGCAATAAAATTTTGCTTTGTATTCGGTAAACTTCTTTAACAAATTTTAAAAAAATCTCTATAAACTATAAAGCAGGTAATGTATGAAAAATAAGCCGTGTATTTGTATGAAATGGAAAATACAATTTTTGAGTAGTAGCGAGTCTGAATCGGGCGAGGGATAGTCTGCAAAGAAACAGGTTATAGTTAGAAACCTTGTCAAAAGAGTTAGTCCTGAACGTCATTAAACGTGATGTGCGCTTCACTGTTGCGGAACTAATAGATTAACTCGGTAAAGAATTTGAAAACGCTGACAATCTAGGTAAAGCTATTGGCACAATTGTTAACAAACTTGGTATCAAGTGTTATGGATATTTTTTATGAATGGAGGAGACGTTACAAAATGTGTATGAAATTAAAAAGCAGAGTAATTTTTAGAAACTTTTTAGACGTTGTTTTTGACGTTACATGTTGGTTAACCGTGCTCCGTGGTTACAAAACATGTTGTTTTAAAAATTGGCTAACATGAGTTATATTTGATCAAATGGAATAAATTCACACTTCGACAAAATAAATGTTTTTATTTACGAGAATATGTTAATCTATAATCTTGTACTGTAAATCAAGTATTATACGCGTGCGATAAATATCCGCGAGTTCCGCGAGTAACCTCTGCTCGCGGTCGTACAGTTGTTCATTATATTCCCATGTTATGATTTTATTTGCCCTTCTTTGAATACCGATACGAAGGTTCAATAAGTAATCACTGAAGAACTTTAGGGTACTAGAAGCAGTTGAAATTTAATTACAAATATTCAGAAAAAATATAAAAGTGGCAAATCTAAAACTATTTGTCTAAAAATTAAAATTCAGCTTGTGTTATTATCGTTCATTTATTGTCACAGACGAGTTAGAGATAGCCTGGTTAATTACGACTAATTATGGCCCAGTCCTGCTCTGTCCCAACCATTTATAACAAGAAAACATTGATGTAACCATCAATTGTCGCCCGGGAAATATATAAAGTAAACAATACAAATGAGTCTTGATCAACAAACCGCTTCGATATGTGTAAAAAGGCATGCGTCTAATTGATGGAGACGATAGTCGCAAATATTTTAAAAAACTTGCAGTCGGATAAAACTCAAACAAAAACGATACCATTTTAAACTTGATCAATTCCTCAAGTAAATGTTGGCTGCATAAAATATAAATTGAAGTTAGACACATGAATCATATATATTTAAAAATGTGCTAATTTTCAATTTTAGAATATAAAACACGAACTGTGAAGAGTACGTTTTTATCCGAGAAGTAAAATTCGATGTTCTAAAAAAGGAACCTGTCGTTATTTCGATAGTAAATAATAAGTAACTTTATATATTAAATAATAAAACATATATATTTTTACAGCTTCACTTTATGGAAGTAAATATATTATGTATCTCGTAATTTATAAACGGAAAGAACATTCTGATTAACAATCTTTTCAATGTTTAGAAAACCTTTAACTCTACATAACTTAAACAATTTATGTATAGAGCAGCCCGGTCCTCCGGGCTGCAATAATTGCCCTTTGGTTATGTAGATCTTTGAAATCGTTGATTACCTTATTAGTATGAGGCACTTTTACAATTGAGAGTTTTAAATCAACTTTAATCTCCGAGATTTTTTCCCCGATTTTCATTCGATCGTCGTGAATAATACATAAGAAGTATATTCATGGAAACATTTTACCCACTTTAGGGGCGGATATAAGATTTTGAATGATGCAATGCACAGAATGTCTTGAATAATGCGTAAGCAGTACTCACGATAGCATTATACCTAATTTATGGACGAATATAAGATTTTAATTTGAAACAAAAAATACTTGTGGAAATAAAAAATGTGACGACTTGTTCGCGGAAATAAATCGTCGCGGATTAGTTTTCTAGCGGTCAGTCGCGAATAAAAAATGACGCGTATAATAATTGGTTTACAGTAATAATAATATGACGATTGGAAACATTGTCTACGTATTTTTTTAATGACCCACGTATTTGCTCCCATTTTACTATTTTCCATGTTTCTCTACACTGTGCAATCTGACACCCTGCCTATTCCGACACAAATTTAGACAGGTTTCATGTGTATTTATCTTCAGGTGTGGCTAGAAGCAGGACTACAGGTGTTCTTTTCTCTTGGTCCGGCCTGGGGAGGAGTCATTACTATGGCAAGTTACAACAAGTTCAACAACAAGTGCATGAAGTAAGTCACTATGTTCCAGTGTAAGAGCTTTATTTGATTTTTAAAAATTAAACTATAATTTTAAATCGTTGCATCTTGAGTTTGTATTTCTTGATTATATCAATGTGAAATCCGTTTAAAATACAATAAATGTGATAGTGCATGACTAACTTATCTGAATAGGACTTTATTTTCAAAGGGACGCTTGGTCTGCTACTTTGGCCGATGGTCTGACGTGTTTCTATGCTGGCTTTGTTGTCTTCTCCATCCTAGGATTCATGGCCAAAGACGTCGGAATGACAATGGAAGAAATTTCAACCTTTTCATCAGGTGGGTTTAGAAAAAGTTTATTTTTAATGACTTTCGTTTGCAGATTACTAATATATCGTTCTTTTTTTAGGACCTGGACTAGTATTTGTGGCGTATCCAGAAGTTATTACGAAACTTCCGATGCCCCACCTGTGGGGAGTCATGTTTTTCCTCATGTTGATTACTATTGGAATAGACTCCCAGGTGACTGAACAGGGAGAGGACTTTTTTTGGAATTTTTCGTCCAATTGATTTCAAATATTTTCAATACAATTATTTCAAAACTAAAACTTAACAGGATGTTCACTAATCCGTCGATCAAAATCTTTTTAGAATTAATTCCTTTAATAAAATTTCAAGTGAAATAAATATTCGTAAAATATTTTTGTGGACAAAAGCAAGTATATTTTTGCAAATATATTGTTGTAAAATCTTCCACAATTTTTCAATTTTAGTTTGGAATGTTTGAGACGGTTGCAAGTGGATTAGCAGACAAATATCCCAAACAGCTGAGCTCTCGGAAAATCTTGACTACGGCCATTTTATGTCTTTTTCTTTTTGTAATAGGAATTCCATTAACAACTAATGTAAGTTTTCAAGAAAAGAACAAGTTTATTTGCAAGTTTACTTGTCTCTATTCATTTTCTTGATTCTTAGTTTAGATAAAAGCACCATCGTATTTTTCTGCGTTTTAAGGTATATATATAGTCCCTATTTGAAAGCTTGATATATGAGATAAATATATATAATTAATATCTCCTAATGTCTTCCCCTCTATTTCTTTTGTTTAGGGAGGTATATATATTTTCCAGTTAATAGACTGGTATATTGCCACTTTCTGTATCTCACTGGCTTCATTCCTAGAGTGTGTCATTATATCGTGGATCTATGGTAAGTAATGGACTACGGAGTTCAACATCGTCTTTTTCAAAAACGGATTTTAGTTAATTTTCTTGCTGTCATAAAAAACTTGATTTTGATGACCTGATTTAACAGGTGCTGAACGTTTCAGTCGAGATGTAGAACTGATGATAGGGCGAGGTATCCCTATTGCGATGAGAATAAGCTGGTGTATTGTCACTCCTTTAATCATGATGGTAAAAAATCAATGAATGGTTTTAAAATATCTCATTTATAAACATACATGTATTTTGGCAAAAATTATGAAATATGATGGGGGAAATTCCAATTACTTCTTAGAATTCTATAGAAAATCACTAATGTTAACAAAAAAAAGTGTAAAGTAAATGTTAGGTGACTGAAATTTAAGTTTGTTTATGAAGGATGCAATAGTCTGCGTATTTTAAACAGAGGAATTGAATAACATTTTCTAAATTCCATAAACTTGAATACGGAGCATCTGCTTCTATTTGTCAAGTTTGTGGGATTTTGTCAAAATTCTGTGTAGATCACATACTCAATCATAAATTCTAAGAAAATTCTAAACTTTTTCAGATGACTGTAATAAAATAACGCACGATTATACGAGGTTTACTTTATATTGGTAACGGTACTAATCTCTATTGGTTTTTTCTTGTCCAGGTTTTACTTTTGATGGCAATGATTATGTATGCCCCACCAAACTCAGCCACTTACACCTATCCTGATTTCGCTATTAGAATCGGTCAGTTTTTCGCCGTTCTCCCTCTGCTACCAATACCAGTGATGATGACCTGGGAAATCCTTCGAACCAAGGGTTCATTCTTTCAGGTAACATGGAATTCAAACCTTAATAGAATAACGGACACATTTTTGTTAGGGGGTATCATTGGCTTAGTAAGTCTCCATTTGCATTTTCAAAACTAGTACAGATACAAATATACTCTGAATCTTTATATGTGTCATTTTATATATAAATACAAATGTACTCATTTTAAACTATCAAACTACGACGTACATGTAGTCTGAATGTGAGTAATTGGATGCTAGAATCTATTAGCACTAGACAAAAAGGACACAAGAGATGTCTCTCATTGTTGTGGAAAGAATAGAAATGCGTCTTGATCGTATAGTGGTTTATTTTAGACTCTGTTATTAACTATAGAAACATAACGTACAGTATTGTGACGTAATAATAACGTTAACGTACGTTACATAAACCCGCGGATAATCCGTGACACTCCGGGCACCGAAATGAATATTATACTAGAATATTAAAAAGTTCAAATCAAATTAACAGTTCATTGAAATTTAAAATAAAAACAAGTTCATAATCACTCAATTAAGAGGTCCATTCACGGATTCTTTCTTTGGCTTTTGTTTTTGACACTCGATCCTCTTCTGTTCCGACACTTTATCTGCAAGGTTTTATATCAGAGTCTCAGTTCCGGGGTGTTAGTGACATAGTTCTGTGTTAGATTTCTCCAGCTCCATCTTTCGAGTCCGTATATTGGCATTTTGTTTATTATCTCTGCCATGTCCCTGAGATTCTTTTTTGTGATTTTTCTCTTTCCTTCTCCTCAGCCTCTGTACGTTTTTCTGTCATCTGAGTTTTTTCCCTTCGTGTGTCATCACGGATCCTTACGGCGAACGTGTGATCTTTCTCCCTTCTTTCCAAGGGGCCCTGTGAGGTTTGTAGCTGATTTTCAAGTGTCTGTACTTTGATATTTAGATCACTTATTTGCCTTTGGGCGTAATCATATCGTGACTGAAGACTGTTGTTTTTAGCATTAAGATGCTCCGAGTGAGTGCTGTAGGTTTTGATATTAACAACTCGGTCCTTTAATTCCTGAACCTCGTTATGCAGACGTCCGTTTTCGTGCACAAGTTTATTCATCTGTTCCATCATATCCTTCATCCCATTCTCCACACGAGTCTGGAAATTTCTTTGTTGGTCGAATTGTAACAATCTCTCTAGCAGGGTACCATTTTCTCGTTCCAAAGCGTTAATCCTTTCTGTCTTAGTCTTCAGCTCTGAATTAAGTTGCTGTATCTCGTTAGTCAACTTGCTACGTTCTTGAATGGAGTCCACAGTCCGACTCATCGGAGTGGAAGCTGATTTCCATAAAACATTTTTATGTCGTTGTTCAGCGTTCATTTCTGTGGGTTTTGGTTTGCTCGTTCCTACGATGTTGACAATTGTTGATTTGGTGGGCTCGTCTCTGTCCCTCGTTAGTTTCATGTCGCATATACTTGTGTGGTGTTTCTTCTGGCACTTTTTACATCTGTTGCAGGATTTACAATCTGCGGCGCGGTGGTTTCCTAAGCAGTTGAAACACGCTTTCTTCTGTTTTAACATATCGAACCTTGCACTTACTTCTGTAACTTTCTTACAATCCCCTGAAAAGTGATTCTCTGTGCAACAATAAATGCATGGGCGGCTCTTTATCTCTGTTGTTTCGACATAAGGAGTTGACTCTCTTGTTTTCTGGTTGTGTCCATTATGAACATGGCGTTGTTTCTTTGAGGCTCCGGTAAGAAACATTGCTGTTGCGTGGAATCCATCGCTGTTTTCAATCTGGCCTGATTCAAGGATTTTGACTTCTTTGCTGATAGCTTTACGAAGATTGTGTAGTGAAATGTTGTCACCATCGTACTCACGTGCAATGTTTTTCCGGATTTCAGCTGGTAGCTTGTTGATTATGACTGGAGTAAGTAAAGCTCCGTACATCTCTTGCTTTTGTCCTAGACACTCTAAACTCCTGACATGAGATTCCAAGCAGTCTCCATAATTTCTTAAACTTATGGCGTCGTTTCTCGGGGCATGCAGTTCCATAAGTGCTCTCATGTGTGCATTGATAATTTTTTGCGGTTGACCAAACCGTTCCTTGAGTAGGTCTATGGCGGTTTCATAATTTGCGTTTGTGAGAGTAAATCCTGCAATGGTTTGTGCTGCTGCGTCCTGTAATTGAGCCTTGAGATACAAAAACTTCTGAATTGGTGTTAAAGTTTGGTTGCGGTGAATTGTTGATTCGTATGAATCCTAAAATGTATTCCATTCTAGTATATCCCCGTCAAAATGTGGAAGATTTAGTTTCGGTAGTCGATGATTATTTGTGACCTGGTTGGATGGTACTGACAAAACATTTTTCTGCCAATCGTGGTTACTTTGTTCATCGAGATCAGTGGCAGGAAAATTATTTAGAATATTCTCACAAGCCGTTTCACTTGAATTAATTGCAGCTGACGTGTTTACATTATTATCATGAATTTCTAAGGCGGGTACAAAACACTCAGCACTGGCATTCAAAGTTTTACCTGAAACTTTTTCTGTAAATTTTTCTATTTTCTTAATTTTGCAATCGAATTCGTACATATACTCATCTGTGTTTGTGATTTCTTCTTCTATGTCCTCTTCAGATAATGCGTCTAATATGCGTTCATTTAGTTCTTGTAGAGTTTGTCTTTTTTGCGTTAGGGACTTTCTGATTATTTCGATTTCCTCCGTTACTTCACTGGCTGTATTTTCTTTCAAGTCCAAAAATCGTCCGAAAAGTTTCGTCACCGCTGATCTGTTACCGGCCCGTATGGCTTTCAGTCTTCCTTCCATTTTACGTATTATGTAGACATTCCGTCGATCACGGCACCAAAATTGTTGTGGAAAGAATAGAAATGCGTCTTGATCGTATAGTGGTTTATTTTAGACTCTGTTATTAACTATAGAAACATAACGTACAGTATTGTGACGTAATAATAACGTTAACGTACGTTACATAAACCCGCGGATAATCCGTGACACTCATGTTTGCTTTTAGAAATTAATATTCATAGCTAAAAATATTAACACAATTTTATTTTTAAAAATCTTTTTTTCTATATACAGAGAATAAAGAACCTTGCTCGCCCGGATTCTAGCTGGGGACCCAATAGTAAGCGTCACTGGCAGACATACAAAATGTACGAATATAAGGATGGACTGTTAAACAGAATCAAAGTGAATCTACTGGGAGATCGTAAACGTTCAAATATTAGAAATTAAAAAAGAAAAACTTGTTTTAAACTATAATATTTCTGTGAACATATTCAACATATCTTGATAAACAATGATACATTTAAAAAAATCTTTTTAATCATCCATATCAATGAAGGTGGCTTTTACTGTCTAATTTCGTCTTTTACAATTACTATTGTAGAGTTCTCACTGAACTCAAAAGTGTTTGTCACATGAGTCAAAATACCATCAAGTCTAGCTGCTTGTTTATTAAAAATTTAGATATTAAACTAGAAAAAGATGTTATTGGTAACATTACAACAGAAATTTATAATAAACGTGATGACTTTGTTTCTTTCATCAACTTTCCTTGTTGCAATATACCCTTATCTCTGCATATAAGGAGTTTATTCGATACACAAGGATATGTCCTGCGTAAAACAATTTCTAAAACATTTCTAAAACGAGACAACCTTCTTAATAAAACAAGGATATCCGTCAAAAGTTTCGTTTAAAATCAGCAATTTAAAAGATCTCTGGATATAATGACCTTGTCAGCAAAAACAATCTATCATTAAGTCAAATGTGGACTGATGCTCTTCATACTAATTGTTTGACCATTATTTACACAATGAACTATGTACAGACATTTTTCTATTTGCCCGATCATGACAAGAACATGGCGGATGTGAAAGGTCGACGAGGGGTGCTTACTCCTCCAATGGCACATGATCCCACCTCTTGAGGTTTTGAGAAAATCATTTTTGCTCTGTTTCCGATTTATATTGTTTAAAAAATATTTGACTTTGGTTACTATTCGTAATCTATACATTTCATTCAAGAATTTTTTTTAAATTTATAAATTATGTGAATGAAAAGGGTGGAGATAACAAACAACGATCGATCTTTATTAAACTACAAATGATACAAATCTGTGAACAGTGCAGACACGGATACCCGGAAATTCGAATCATTATGGTGGGATCAGGTGCCTAGGAGTAGGAAGCATCCCCCAATTAACGGACCAAACTGCCGCGAGCCCTGTGTGGTGTTCCGATAGACGAAATACTTCGTTGTCAACATAATTATAAATATAAAATCAAAAACCTAACAGATGTAAAAAAAAAATATATATATATATATATATATATATATATATATATATATATATATATATATATATATATATATATATATGATCCACCGATATCTTATCTTTGCTAGCAAGGTCTTTATAAGACTACAGTAAAACTCGGTTATAAGGAAGTCACTGGGACCTTAAATTACTTTGCTATATTTGAAATTCGTAATATCAATATAAGGAATTCGTTAGCTGGGGATCCAAAATAACTTCGCTATATCCGTAAATTCGCAGTATCCGTGTTCGTACTAAACGAGTTTTGCTGTATAGGGTTTTGAAATGCTGATCTAAACAAGTTTGCTGAAATCCCCTTGTCATCAACTTATCTGTTCATATTCCTATATGCATATGAAGATAGTAGCGTAATATTACTGAATAAATAAAAAAATGATAATGGAGAAACTTGTCATCTCAGTTGCCATTCAATTTAGTTATTAGTAAGCTCTGTGGCAACGCACTTTGAAAATTTTTTTCAAAGTGCGTTAAAATTGGGACAAAATTAATGCACTTTGAAATTTTTTTTTCAAAGTGCGTTAAATTTGGGACCAACTCAACGCACTTTGAAAAAATTTTTCAAAGTGCGTTAAGAGTTTACATCAATATATTTTACCATGGAGACACCTAACGCACTTCGAAAAAATATGTAAAAGAATTCTGAATTTAAATTTTAGTAAAGGAAAGCATTGATTTTTATTTATCTGTCGAAAAACTTATACTTATAAGCTTCGGGAACAAATAAAACGGGGGAGGGGAGTAATAAACCCAATTCAAAGAAGGGTAAGCCGCATTTTCAATGCCAATACGATGTATATTTTTTCCAAAATAAGTGTGTGGGGTGGGGGTGGGGTGTTCAGCTCCCTCCCCTTGTCCGGCCTTCGCCCGGTTTCGATGCCTATGCTATTCCCTTAACATGTATATATGTATTTACTGTACATAACTGATATGGTGTTGAAAATTTCAATGACTGGGCTAACTTTAAACATGAAAACTAGAATTTTTTTGTACAGTAAAACGTATGAGAGAGAAAGAATTTTCATTGTTTTGAAAAATCAAATTGCCCCCTTTTTCTTAAGAAAAATGAGATGCTTTAAGTCGTTTACAGTACTGTCCCTTAAATCTCTAATTCTAAATAAGAAGAAACGACTCGTAATAATGATATTAAACAATCATCTCTATTTTTTTTCTAAAAGACACATTTCCTATTACATGTATAACATTTATCAAAACCTAAAATATTTAAAACGGCAAAATCTCATGTCCTGAAGTGACCTTATCATAACAAAGTTAGCCAACTAGGATCAGTTATTTATCATACCGATTATTTGTAAGAATATTGGTCAAGCTTTACATTTTTTCAAAGTGCGTTTATATGGTCGATATCAACGCACTTTGAAAAGAAATTTATTTTTTTTCAAAGTGCGTTAGCTTGGTCCCAAATTTAACGCACTTTGAAAAAAATTTTCAAAGTGCGTAATTTTTCAAAGTGCGTTGTAACAAAGCTCTCATTTTCACAAATGGAATAGAAATGTATCGAATAAATGTCCGTTTTGTGAATCACTTGAAGATACAAAACACCAAATTTTTGATTGTAGAAATGTAGAAATGATTGGGACAAATCTAGAAAACCGTCTGAATTTGAATATAGAATGGCAAAATATTGTATTGGGGTTTTTCTATGAAGAAAACAAAACTACAATTTCACTGAATTATCTATTATCTTACATAGCATTTTTTATACATAAGATAAAAATGAGGCTAAGATATGAAAACAGAGAAGAAAATATAAATAATATTTTGTATTATTTACAGACAAACTAATGTATCAATATGAGATTTATTAAAAAAAGTTTTAATAATATTTTGTATTATTTACAGACAAACT